TTCTGCCTTCAAGTTACGTGTTCAAGATGTTTAGTGCTTGCTTTAATGCACTCCCTGAGATTGCACTTTCGAATCATACGGACATGTCCAGAATATGGCACAGCGACTAAGTAACCTTGTTTTCTTGCATTCTAAGACTACGCATATTGTTGCTTGTTCTGCGTGCCATCCATCCTCAGTTACTGTGCTGTTTTAACGAGGATTATACTTCAACTCGGCGTCAGATACGTGCGCATAACTAACTTTTTTTTCTTGGTACACGTTTACTTGCACGTCGCTTGCGATAAGAAGGTACGCCATCGCGCGTTTTTGAAAGGTTGCCGGTTCACGTGTAACGCCAGTTTTCTTAGCATGAGAGAACTCTATATCCGTAGAACACCGCCCTTAAATCGGGAGACCGTGTTGGCCATTAGCCAGGCGTTTAAAACCCAGTCGTCCAAGGTTTTTTGCCTGATAAATTCCTCTTTCATGAGCGTCGCCATGGCCAGTCGTCTTTCGTACTATGGCGTAATGACGCGCAGGATAAAGCCAACGTTCTGTTAGGAAGAAATAGTCGCTTCCTTGCAGCTCGAATATGTTGGCGTCGTTTGATATTCTATTTCTAGAAAAACACGGCAGGCGCCTTCTGTCGTAGCTGTCGTGCCTTTACTGCCGCTTAGCTGCATTTGAAAGCCACCGACAATATCCCGCAGCATAGTAGGCTGTTTTGCAGGGTCATCCACCTTTCCATTCTTCCAGTAGATGACTATTAAGTCGCCAAAGGCATCGACTCTGGGTGGACATTTCTCGAGTTTTCTGTTACTTAAGGGTCTTTCCAGAAACAACAGCTCTCTCTGAGAGCTCTGATAGACGCCTCTTGAGTTGCAGCCCTCGGCACGTTTTCCTCAGACAGTCTAATACCATTTCCGTGTTATAATGGTCCTGTAACTCGAATCACCGCATTATGTTGAGCAATTTGAAGTTATCGGCAGTCAGTGTTCCTCCAGTTTGCAAACGATTTTTATTGAGGTCCAGGCTGCCTGATATTTGTTCAGTCATGGTCGTTTACAGGCCTGACCTTAATTTGGAAGACTTAAGCCTTCGCCGATTCGACCATCCATATCGTCTCACCAGTTAGCGATATGCGCCTCGCTGTCCGAT